CAAAATAAACAAATATGATTTAGTGTGTATTAAATATTTTTTTTTTTTAAAGTAAATATTTTCAAAAATAGTTTTGCCTATATGGACACTCTAAAGGGAGAGAGTTATATATATGATTTCCGTTTACTCCAGATTATATTCGTGTTTGGATCACGTTTAGTTGGTGTGAAATTCAAATACCAATCAATTCTTATTAGATTTCGGTTCGGTTTTCTCGGCTTGACAGTTTTGGTTCGTTAAAATGTTCACCTCCTATAACTTATGCTCAAGAACAGGACCAAAATTCATGTTTCATTGAACGATTTTTCACTCAATTTTGGTTGGAGATTCCATCAAAATATATATCTCTTTGAATTTAAAAGAATTATGTGATTGATTGTACAAACAAATCAAATAATGAACGAATTAATCATCTATACATAAAAGAATGAAGAATGTTCTCTCTGTAATAAACCTAGAAAAGCTTGCTTGCGAATTCGTTAGCCTCAACCTGAGAGAGATTCGATTTCTTCGCGAGATCTTTCAATTCGGACAAGCTTCTCCCTAGTTTCAACGCGATTTTTGTCTCAAACACTTGTCCGTTCTCTCTCTTCTCTGTCGATTTCATCGATTCTTCTAATAGCGAGAAGAATCCGGCGGAGTTTCTATACATTTCAAACACCATTCCCACTTGACCACCATGCTCTAAAGTGTTCACAACCGCGGCCAAAGAAGCACAAGTCATCGCCACAATTCCAGCTAAACCGGAATCTTGACCGATAAAAACAGAGCTCACTGCTGATACTCCGGTTAAAACTGGTCCAGAGATAGCCAAGAACCGGTTTAACTTCAACGCCAAGTTACCTAATCTTTCATACTCTTCTGCGTCTCTGTTCTTAACCACATTAGCTACTTCTCTCATTTCCATCTCCAGCTCTTTACTCCACCCGTTCCAAAGACCGGCTTTAGGGTTTCTCTGTTTCTTTTCAGGCCACCAAGTCGCCGGTTTAAACTCTTCCGGAAACTTCTCGAGCATTGTTCCGATCAGAGGAAGAGGATAAGCTTTGTCTAAAGACAACACTTTCCTTATCGCCTCCTTCACATCTTCTTCATCTATCTCATCGTTTTCTCTCAAAAACGTCTCGATTTCGATTCTCAGCTTCTTGAACAGCCTTGTCGCGTTCCTCTGTTCTTCAGCGAGCTGCGAGGGCTGAATCTTGCTCATCAAGGCAGCAATACCGGTCGCAGAGGTCAACAAAACCGTCGAAGCTACCTTCACCGCGGTTACAGAATCTGCGCCGTGACCGTTAACTGAGGCCATTCCGGCCATTAAAGCGGCGGTGAGAGTGATCATGTTGACGGAATTGAGCAATAGAGAGTTCCAATTGTTGCGTTGATCTCCAATGTTCTTGTGCATCTCAATCCTATCCATAACTTCTTCAAGAACCGCATTGAGACGTGACCGTTGGATCGAATCAGAGTCTTTCCTCTGTTTCAACGAAAGAGGAACACTTTCTATGAACTCAAAGCTCGGTTCTTGAACCGATAAAGTCTGCTTCTTTATCGGTATTTTCGGAATCGAGACGTTAAATTTCGGTAATTTCGGGATCGAAACTGCGGCTTTAGGTCTCGTGGAAGAAGAAGACGATGAAAGAACTAATCTTGAAACCTGTAATGAAGCCATTGATGATATAAATTGAAGAAAAGAAACAACAATTAGTAGGATTTTCTTTTTCTCTGTTTTTAAACCGGTTCTTGATTCGGTTTTGGTTACGTTAGTTTCTTAATCGCTCTTTGAGTTTTTGTGATTGTCTTTGATGAATTGAGATAGATATCCAATGGTGTGTATATATATAGATTTTAGATTATAGGCAAGAAAAACAAAATTAAAGGAATTGAATTGACCAAAGAGAGAATTGAATTTGACCAACGACCAATAATTCTCATGCTTTGATAGATTCTCCTGTGACGGTTTCTTGGTCTAACCGTAAAGCCTCCCGATTTTACCCGCCATCTCTCGTAGACCGAGTCTTAATTACTCTTAAACCGAAAATAACCGGATCGGTTTGTAATTTGTTTTTTTTTTGGGATTAAACCGGTTCGGTTTTGTTTGTAGGATCGTACAAAATTGATTTGGTCAACAGAGAATCAATCAAAGAGAAGAACTGAAGAAGTGAAGAAAAATGGGATCTTTACCGAAGAAGACTCTGCAACGATACTTGTCACAGCTTCAGGAACATCCTTTAAGAACAAAGGTTCGATTTTTTCCATC